CATGCTGGCGATTCAGGAGATTGCACCATCTGATTCGCTGCTGGAAGTCATTCGGAAACGAGAAGAAATGCAGACCTGTTGGATTGCCTGTTGTGTCATAATAGCTATTAGCACAACCAAAAAGCGGCACAGTGTCTTCCTCTTCTTTTCGAAGAAGAAGGAGGAATATCCTGCGTAGGGAAAGTATCGTTCATTGTCGAAATATCTCGATGAAAAGGACAGAGCACCACCACATTTCACTAAACTCTCACTGGAACTCGCAACGCGACTCAACACTAATCTCGCTATCATGTTTGCGCGGTATACACATCCAATATGGCGCCGGGAACTGTAAAAAGGTTTTAAATTGCAAGAGATTGCTACTATGCTTGGAGTAATTTGGAGAACAGTTAAGAGAAGAATGATATTATATGGACTAAGTGTTTCAGGTACATACTATTGTTTTAAGCTAGAATATTAAGCTAGGATATTATGAACACAGTCCAACAAATACGAGATATCGTCCATTTTTCATCTCACAAGATAACCTCGTACGAAGTTATGAGGCTTACATGAGGTACTTGACGTTAGTGAGCCTGCGCTCCTTCGTTAATAGCTGGGTTGCGCTTGGATGATGGAAACTTGAATGTTGAATAGCGCGTAGTGCTGCATGTTGAATATATCAATACCATAAGTACAACAATATTGCATTGCCACAACTACAAAGTGGAATTATGAGAAGTAAAATGTTTAATACTCGAAACTTGGAAGTTTAATTGTAAAAAAGACTGTTGAATCGGATAAAGTTTCATAAGGAATAAAAACTTGAATGTCCAATCGTGAAATAAGGAAGAATACTAAAAGTACAATGTCAAATCGCAATGTTGAATTTTGGCCCCGATGGGACGCCAATCCCAAGCCACGTGTTGCTCTATAGATCACAGGATAGTGATTGGCCATTGAATCTCATTACGTCAGAGGACATATCCACAACAAGAGGACATATGTGGAACGGTACAGTCACTGGCTGAACAATCATGGCGGACTATTCGGGCGTTCTGTTGAACGTCAGCTATAAACAGCTTCATGAACGGTTTGTGAGTGGATTGAATGGAACATCGGTGTTTGAGATCGGAATGGTTGCTAGTGCTGCGCCAAGTGGAATTTTTCTTCGGTCAATCTTATTTAATATATTGTTTGCAAAGCAACAAAACTTTTCTAGTTCACTATTCTGTTGGTGAGTATAAGACGCTTTTCTTAGACAGTGCAAACACTCGAAAATCAAGACCTCATACAGTTGTTGTAGATTGCTCGTAAAAACTCGTGGTGAAGAACTTTTTTTACTGAAATAGTGGTAACTTTTCCCATTCTGAAAAGGCTATTTTAATGAAAGAAGAAAGTGCTCTTTAATTAACCTTGCGATTGTACAGAATTTCCGCCTTGACTTATTAAGGTGGCTGAATACAGTTTTTGATACCATTGTTTCTTTCACCGTTTTCTCTAAAACCCTTGATCTCTCGGTCGCCAAAATTGGCAGCAAGCAAGTTAACAACACAAACTTATGTTTTTCGATAGTTAATCTGACGTATGTGCCGTTGCTATGGCGACATGAGTAGATATACATTGGCAATTAAAATCGGTTTTGTTTCTTTGTAGAAAATCTAGTCATTAGATTTTCTTAATAATTTGCATGTAGCGAGCTTGTAATGATACTCACAAGTTAACACCATTTTGCTAACAATTTAACAGAGAGATCTTTGATTATCCCTTGTTGAAGGTTCACTCGATTTTCTAGAATTTCCTTTGTTTAAAATCTATGTTTTTCAATACTCCAGTTACTTATTTCCTAAAGTATTTCTGTGCCAAATTTCGTGAAATTCTAATGAGTGGTTCTCAAGAAATTGGCATATTTCCGAGGAAGCAATTTTCCATTCAATCGCAATTTTTTTACTTACTACGCATGCGCTACATTTAACTGGTTTCTCAGTTTCGGTAATGACGAAAAAGCTGAGAATTACTGGGTTCTTTGCACCATTAACTTATCTAACTTATCTTTGTAATAAAAGATTAAAGCCCTCTATACACTGCACCAACTACAGAGGAAAATAGCACAGATAGTGCGGGTACATGTTGAGTAAATGAAATGACTGCTCTGTTGACGGCATGTTTGTTTTTTACAATCCTTGTGTGAGTACTTAATTACATCAGCAAAAGCACGTGCGAAAACTGTGTTCAGCCACCTTAAGCTTCATTTGAAGTTTTCTGCTAGTCAGCCCAAGAAATCTCAATTTTTTAGGAAAAGAACTTACCATCTGAAGTTTTCTGCTAGCTACGCTAGTAAAGTGAGAGACGTGGAGAGCGCACACACGAATCATCGAGTGCTGAATAGTGCTTTGCGATTTTCATTTCAAACATTAACAAGGAATTGTCTGCCTCAGTGCATAACAAATCGATGAGAATTTTTAATATAAACCTGGGAAGTTTTCATGACACTCCCTTGCATACTCATGAAAACATGGGACCCTGAACTGATGCAAATTCTTATTAAGAAATAAACGTTTTGGCCAGTAATGAACATCACAATTTCGGGTTTATGAGTTGAAGAGAATGATACTTATGAAATATGGTTAAACTGACTTAAGCTCAAATGAGACCCTAAACTTCTGTAAAATTAATGTTTAAATAATTTTAAAATCTGGATTTTAAAATATTTTAACATCAAGTTCACAGTAGTTTTTAAGGCCTCATTTGAATTTTTGTCATACTTATGAAACTTTGCTCATGTTTGAAACTAGGATGGATGGTAGTTTATGTAGAAAATTAAGTGAAGCAAAATGAATTTGGCAATATTGCATAACTTGGAAAAGATTGTTAGTGTTGAGCACAGGTGACTAGTAAAGAATGTTTACCTTTTTACTCCGAAGATCTGATTCTCATTTCTTCTCTCTAGCTGCAACACATTTCCTTATAATTCAATTATGAGAATTTGGTGTTAGATCAAGATTACCTCAACCTGATATGTCTGAGTATTCTCATTACCTGTTTGTTGGATAATGTGTGGATTACTATAGGTAGAATTTATGTATTAATCATTTCTGGGAGTTAGAGGGTTAACAAATGTTTTCTTCCCAGCATAGTTCTATTCCAAGCCCTTGGGACACTGTGGTGTCTTTTGAATCAGACCTAGTCTTTAAAAAAGTAGTCAAAATAAACTTTTCAAAAAGAAGAACATATTCCTGTTGACTCTGTTTTCTATCATCATAGCTTGGTTTTTCTATTGGAGTACTGTACCTTGGTTGTTCCCTCATTCCTGGCTCTGACTGCTCTAGCTGATCACACAGATATGCTAATTACAACCTGTTTATGTCTATCAATTGGAATGTTGTTTTTGCAAGCATTGGATGCTAGTAAACTTCAAAAACAGAAAGTTCAAGCAATACTATCTGCAGACATGTGTGGAAAGCTGCCTTTTGTTGGAAGCTTCAGAGCATATGTAGTGATTGCCACAGCCATCTGTATACTTGCTGTTGACTTTGTGATCTTTCCTCGGCGCTTTGCCAAAGCGGAAACATATGGGAGTGGACTAATGGACATGGGAGTTGGAGCATTTATATTTTCTAATGCTATTGTATCACAGGAGGCAAGAAGTGTTCGCTCAACAGAAACGGCGCACAGCTTTTTTGCGGTAGTATTTAGATCCTTGAGATCTTCTTTGCCATTACTAGTGCTAGGATTTATGCGGCTGGTGTCTGTCAAAGGAACAGATTATCAAGAGCACGCAAGTGAGTATGGTGCTCACTGGAACTTTTTCTTCACTTTATTTGTCGTAAGGGTGAGTTAAATATGTTCTTTTTGTATGAAATTACTTACTAAATGGTCCTTCTCATAGCACACTTTTCAAGTGAGTGTGGTATAGCCAGAAAAATTCTCAATTATAATAAATCACAGCAGAGGAAAATATTGCAAGAAACTTACCAGAACTCAAAGCAATTGACCCTTTAATTCTTCAGTCTAGTTGCTACTCATTTTCTTGTAAATTAGCTGCACAAATTAATGTTTTAGATCAAGATAACAACTTCTAGCAGATGAGTTTGAGTATTCTCATTACCTGTATACTGGATAATGTACGGATATTATAGGGAGAAATGACATCTTAATCACTTCTGGAAGTTAAAGGCCTAAACAAGTAAACTGGCTGAGATGTAAGAACTGATCGGCAGACAAGTTGAAATTGGTATTTGTTTTGCATTTATATTACGGCTTATTCATTTTTCATTTATTTGTTCTATATCTTTTTTTTTCTTTGGTCATTCTTTCATTCATTCTTTAATTCTGTCATTCTTCTTTTTTTGTCTCTCTAATTTTCACTCATTCAATCCATCTGTCCATCCATCCGTCCATCCATCCAAATGTTTATCCATCCACTCCTTCCATCTACCCATGGATCAGTCAATTGGCAGTCCTTCATTCTGACTCGCACTCCCTCTTGTATTTATTTAATTTTTGTTTATATCTTCTTTTTCTCACCTTTTAGGTAATGTCAACAGTGCTCATCAGGTTCACCCGTGGCCACAGCTGGTATGGTGTAACAGGAATTATATTAGCTTTGCTGTATCAATACCTCCTTAGTCCCTGTGGTTTGAGAGAGTTTGTATTATATGGAACACAAGGTGATGGATCACGCCTAGGATTACTGGATGCAAATAGAGAAGGCTTATGTTCTTGTGTGGGATATTTAGCTCTGTACCTTATTGCTGTTCAGTTTGGAAAGTTTCTCTTTTTTAAACGGTAAGACGTGATGTTAGGTTTAGGTTTTGAATCTACATAGGAGAAATGCCTTCACCTATGCTGTATGTGCTTGGTTTCTTGGGTTAGGGACATGCAAAGTGTGTGAAGCAGGTTTATAATTGTGTAAAAGCATCATATCATCATTGAATTCCCAGAAGTATGCAGGCCGTTTCCACAGAAATCTTGTTACAGCTGTAAATGTAATCTATTCACAAGCATTCCCTTTTTCCCAGCATAATCTGTATCTAATGACATGGATCTTTCCCATACAGGTTTGCTGGCTTTGTTTTAGCAAAAGTCTGTCTTACTTAGATTGTAACCATTCTTGAACCTTTTTTATGGGAAAAAAAGTTTTGTGATAGTTGTTTTAATTTAGGCAACTTTGTTTTGACCTTTTGACCTCAGAGAGTGACTACCATCTAATATCAGCCCTGAATCACACATTAGAAGGAGAATAAAGGAATCAGTCATTACTGTTTTCTGTTTAAGACTTTTTATGTTCCTTTTCTCTTGATTTTAGAAATACTTTAGGACAGTGGATCAAAGCATTGCTAATCTTAGTGGCTATAGATGCTACATTTTATACCTTGGTTCATGTATCACAGCAGTTTGTCAGCCCCATATCCAGAAGAATGGCAAATTTATCTTTTGTTTTGTGGCAGGTAAGTTTGGCAGACAATAAATACTTCATGACAAAATGGAAGAGGAAAATCTAAATCTGATTATTAAATAATAAAACTCACTGGAAATCTATACCAGTAAGCTCAAAAGACTAAATTAAACATGTATTTCTTCCACAGTTTTTAGTGGTGAGCACTTCACTTATAGGGACCAAATCTGAAACTTGTCATTGTAAAGAAACTTGAATAAGAGCATTAATGACACAAATTTGAAGCTTATTAGTTTTTAACATGTTTTAACATTTTGATATTTACAAGTTATGCTTGTAGATAGGAGTATTATCAATACACTACCCCAACCATGTAGATTACAGTCATATTTATTTGATATTCCAGCCTACTGTAAAATTGATTATACTCTGCTGGAACTGAGCACAGCTTAGTGGCACTTTGTAACAGAGGTTTCGGTAAAAGTTGCTTTGTGGAGTTCTTACCACCACCATTTTTTTAGTTGCAGACACACTCTCTTCTTTGGGTTTTGTCTTACACCCCCTTTGGTTAGAATTCAAGGAAGCTTGTTAGCTGTTTTTTATTTTATTTTATTTTTTGTTTTTTTGTTTTGTTTTTTTTTTGTTTTGTTTTTTGTATTGTTGGGCTTAGTTTAGTATTTACATTAATTTTTTATAGATTTTCAATATGAGTCCAAGCTTGTGACTGAAAGTTCATCCTATAGTAATGTATCAGCAAGACCATGGTTTTTATGATAATTTGGTGTTATTATCAAAGTTAAATGTAAATTGTTTATTTATTTACGAATATTTAGACAGGGTAGCCCAGTTCAGCAAATAGCTGGTTTAAATGGAGCCCTGTGACGTGTGTACCCACCATTCCACCCCGGGGAGGACATCCACCACAGAGTAATCTCGTACGTGGGAAATTAACGTCTCCTACCCCTAACCCTGCAGGAGAAGGGACCTACGGTTTTATTCGTCCTTATCCGAGAAGACTATAATATCTATCCATTTCTTGATATTATAGAAAGGTAGCAAATTCTCCTCAGTTATTTTAAGACCATGAGTATTGGTCCGGCCGGGGCACAAACCCTCAACCTCCCGCACAACACAATCTGGCGCTCTAACCAAGTGAGCTAATCAGGAGGCGGTTAAATTGGCCTTCTTAAAGAGTTTCCAAGGCTGATGTTTCTAGCGGTAGCCCTTGCTTAGAGCAAATTCAAAGGGTTATCATTGAAAATGTCAACTTAAATTTTACAGCGATCAATTTATCCTATCAACTCAGCTGATAACGCTAAATTATCTTGTTAACTTCCTCACCAACACAGTACCACAGTTTCTTTAGAAAATTACCCCCCTCCAGGACTCGACACGAACAGTAGCCAGCTAGCCACAAAATAGTAAAAATTCAGGTTTGCCTAGTGGTTTTCGATTTCCACTAGCCAATCTGGCTAGTAAACAAACTGAAACTGTTGTAACATCTAAGTTATCACTAGCCACTTGGCCAATAAGTTGGGAGTTAGTTTTGAGCCCTGCCCTCTTTTCATGGGTTTTATGAAAGTTTGTCATTTGCCTTGTTACATTCTACAGCCATTTTGAAGAAACTTTGAACAGTTAGCATAACTTCTAAACAGTCAATCTTCCAAATGATAGAATTGCACATGTACGTTTTGTTCTTCGTTAGGTGGGATATAATGTTCAACTTATCTCAGAGTTCTTGCTTTGTGATATATTGATAACCACTGCAAACCACCTGGGCTTGCTTGAAGGTGCAGTAACAGGAGGCTGTCACGTGTGTTATCCCGCAAAAGTCCCGGATGAGAATGGTAAAACGTCACAGATCAAGCAGAAGATGCCATGTGCATGCTTCATATCAGCTGTTAACCGGAATCAGCTTTTGTTCTTTTTGCTTTCTAATGTACTTACGGGAATCGTGAACTTTTCCATAAAGACAATCTTCTGTACTCCATTGAAGGGATATATAATAGTTGGTATTTACCTGATGATGTTAAACTTTTTAATTTCTGTCCTACATCTACGTGGGAAAACTTTGAAACTTTCATGAAATTCGTGGGGATCGCGCCGAGCATGTCAAGATGTCTTGCAACTGTTTTTTTTTTTTTTCTTCGCAGTGAAATTTTATCAACCCTTAACAATCTAGTAAAGTAGTGATCCTCGCAGGTGGGCCGCATATTAAGCGACCACGGATTAGAAACAGGCTTCGACGGGATTCGAATTCAAGCTACAGATACTGGTGGTCCCTATTTCCAACTGAATCTCAAGGCCATGGCCACATGTTGGCAGCGAGAGATATTTCAGAAGGGTCTTCTTTTCCGCAGCGGAATTGAAGCTCACCTGCGAGAATAGTTGCTTTACTTGAATTGATTTCATTTAATACTACGGTTTGAGACATCTGTCATAGTTTTACGAGGGATTCGAATCCAGGTTACAGATACTGGTGGTCCCTACCACCAACTGACACGACGCCTTCGCCACATGTTGGGAGCGAGAGACATTTCAAAGGGTCTTTTCCGCAGAGGAATTGAAGCTCATCTGCGAGAATAGTTGCTTTACTTGATTTTCATCTGCAGGTCAAATAAAATTAATTTTGTTAAAGATTATGGTTTGAGAGAGTATGATGTCTGTGGTTGAGCATGAATTTCATATGATCTTCCGGATCACTCGATCTTTCCAAATATTGCTCAAGCAATAGATATGTCCAGACGCTTGTGACCCTTATTGGTCATAAGCTTCTGATATATCTTATGTAGCGTTTTATTGTGTAGTATTGCTGTGTATTCTTGCGAGTTGTGCTGTACGAGTAAGAAATACCCAGCGACGCTACCTACCAGCTGAAAGCGTTCTTTATTTTAAGTCGGAGTCGCCACGACGAATTGAACCTCAGACCTTCGGATTCCGCGCTCCGATATTCTACCACTGAGCCAAAAAGACTCTCCGATATTCTACCACTGAGCCAAAAAGACTCTCCGATATTCTACCACTGAGCCAAAAAGACTCTATCGTGAGCAAGTTCTATCACGAAGTTTATTTGTGGCACGCGTCCTGCATACTGCTGGGATCGGCAATGTCGATAGCGTCATGTTTTGTAAATAGAATAAGGATGGTAAATTTTTGAGCTCGGTAGAAATATAGGGAAAGATGTTTTTCGTCTTGTCACGAGCATGGGACAAAGAAAAAATATGAGAGACCAACTCATCCAGGCACCAAGTTATCTATCTGATTTTTTACACTACCATGATAGTCCGCGCTTACTTCGTTCTAGAATCTGTTAACAGTGCCTAGATGCTGGTCAAAGACGTATGGTGATAGAGCGCTAGCTTTTTCTGTAGTTGCTCCTAAGCAATGGAATCAATTGCCTCTTGAACTCAGGAGTGTTGCCTCTGTTGACCAGTTCAAGACGCAGTTAAAGACATACTTATTTAAATTGGCTTGTGATGTCTAGTTTTTAATAATTACTGATCCCCATGAAATTCTATTGTTCTCTCTCTGCATTAAATCAACGATTGAAGTCTTTAAGATGACAAAACAACTGTATGACGAAAACGGAGGCGGTCCTTTTTGTTAGCATTATCAGGGGTAATATAATTAAACGCGCTAGATAAGCATGCTGCAATATCAAAAATATTATCGCGCGATAATATTTATTATTATCGCGCGATAATATTTATTATTATCGCGCGATAATATTTATTATCGCGCAGTAATTATCATTTATCACGTGATAAATGGAAACTCGGCTGTCATGCAAGTTGTTTCCGTGGACGACAATGACTGCTACAGTTGAGGAGCTATGTTTTGAGGTCGATAGTTCGTTTTATTCATGTAAAAAGATCATTTAGCAGTACGTTGCAATACTACGACACATGGCTCTTTGAATCAGTAGAGTAAACCTTGATTTTGCGAAGTCCGAGCCCGTGGAAATTTTGTATTATTTATTTATATTTTGTGATAATTTTTTGATGATTGCATGACTTACACTGTCACGGTTGTGTTACACTAAGACCTTGAAATAAACTTTCATAAGTTTTCTCATCTTTCAGTCTATACTATATGCCCTCTAAATTTCATTGTCATTGCTCAAATATTCTATCAAATATTATACCAATCAATTCTCTGCATTCCTCCAGACAAAAAACACATTATGATCGAGACTGTACGCCAGCAGGATCCAATTCTTTACTTATGACTCGTACGGTCTCCTTCTGGACAACAAGACTGTAGTCAATTCTTAACCGTTGGTGCATTTGGCGATAACCAATAGTGTTCCTGCATGGACAAATGCAACGGATTACGGGACAGAAGTTGGCCTAGATGACATTGATGTGATTGATGGTGAATGATGCGACTGAACAAGCCCCACAAATTGTTTGGAGGAATGCAGAGAACTGATTGATATAATTATGTAAGAGCAACAGTTGCAAGTGCCTTCAACTGCTCTAGAAGCCCGTAACCTTTTCGTGGATCTCGTTTATCTCATCGACAACAGTTGGTTCAGTTCTTGTATGATGTGTTTTCTGAAGGGGAATGAATTACACCCGAAAACCTAGCCTCATGTGTCCCTAATGCCATCCTCTCTTTGTGTGCGAGGCCTTTCTGGCAAAAGAGAACCGACAGTTTTGGTGACATGTGTCAAAGTTACTGTGTTTACATTTTTGTGCCAAATAGAGGATACTTTAAAAGCCTATGAGCATTGTGTAACTACTCGTGTGCACGAAGTAATTTGACCTTATTCGGCCCGAGCTTTTTTTTAATCTTTTCAGACCGCGGAGTGAAGCGAATTCCGCCCCCTTCACCTCCGTAACTTCCAGCATATTTGAGCAATGACAAAGAAATTTAGAGGGCATAAAGTATAGACTGGAAGATGAGCAAACTGATGAAAGTTTATTTCAAGGTTTTAGTGTAACACAACCGTGACAGTGTAAGTCACGCAATCATCAAAAAGTTATTACAAAATATAAATAAATAATACAAAATTTCCACGGGCTCGGACTTCGCAAAATCAAGGTTTACTATACTGATTCAAAGAGCTATGTGTCGTAGTATTGCAACGTACTGCTAAATGATCTTTTTACATGAATAAAACGAACTATCGACCTCAAAACATAGCTCCTCAACTGTGGCAGTCATTGTCGTCCACGGAAACAACATGCATGACAGCCGATTACGTGACCTGACAAGTTTCCATTTATCACGTGATAAATGATAAATTATCGCGCGATAATAAATATTATCGCGCGATAATAATAAATATTATCGCGCGATAATAATAAA